AGAAAGAAAGAAAGAAAGAAAGAAAGAAAGAAAGAAAGAAAGAAAGAAAGAAAGAGAAAAAGGAGTTGGGGAAGAGAGAGAAGGAGGGAAGGATATAAGAAAAAATTTGTCATATGTAGACAGAACAATGGACAGGATGAGTTCTGAGGTAAGTGAAGTGAAAGGAAAGAGCAGTTTGCTTTATAAATAGTAATAGAAGAGAGGTAACTCAGTATAAGTAAGACTGGAGAATGTGAAGTTGTCTCCCTCGAATATGGCTTGCTGAAGGCGAACAACCCTTACACTTACACGACACTCCCGTTTAATAATACATGTTTTTAGAAATCAAGCAAAATCTATAACAACTGAACATGTTTTAATCAACATTTCATACGTCAAAAATACCAAAGTAATCCTAACGGTTGCGTTGACAGAAATGCCCATAATGAAATTGACAAAGCATTTCTTTGGGTAAAAATAATTTATAAATTACGACAGTGACAGCATTTCGACTTTCTTGTTGATGTTTTTATAAAGACAACAGTTAAACTTCTGGTTTATTTTTATATTTTCATTGCAATCTGTTCTCCGCTACTCCTCCGGCCTTGTGCCCACTGGTTTAGCGAGGCAGGTACTGCCCGAGGCACTCCGAGGGACGGAGAAATCTGACCCTCTTTTCTATCGGGAGGACGGTTATCGTCCACTAATTATTTTTTTTAAATCTTTCCGTTTTACGGAGCCTCCAGGCGCAGAACACTCGCAACCTTTATTTTTTATTTTTCCCCCTCATCTATTTTCACTTTTTGTTTTGTTTTTTGTGTTCACTTGAAATTTACTAATGAAATATAATTGCATTAAAAAAATATAACTTCACTGACGCTAAGTTGGTTCAGTGAATATCATTCGAGGCTTCGGAGAAGATGACCAGGGGGCTCTCGTGGCCAAGAGGTTAAGGTGTTCGCCTCTCATTCAATAGGTCACGGGTTCGAGTCCGGATAGCGATGGAAAATGTGTTTCTCTAAATCAAAATTGTTCTCCTTTCTGATCTTGCTCTCTAACAATGTTCTGTCGTCTGCTTTCGTCTCCGCTTTCTTCCCCCACCCCCTCACCTCCTTTGCCCCCTCCTCTGGGCTCCTGACTCTTTCTGCAGCCTTTCTACTGCTACTCCAGTAGCTCCCTCTTACTGCTGTCTTTCAGCCACACCCTGACCTTATGGTAGGAAGGATCTACACCTAGCCTTCTCGGACCAGGGCGAAAAATCTCGGAGGTCCTGAGTGCAAGTTGCGCACGTTAAAGATCCCTTGGTGGTCCAAAATCGATCAGAGTAGACTTCGGCCACTATCTATGCAAAATTCAAAATTTCCTACCGACTCAAAATGTTAAATGTGTCCCGAGCGCTCATATGACCTTATGCAGTTGCGAGCGCCGTAAAACGCTTACAAAAGAGAGAGA